TTGCAGAAAAAGTTGCAACCAAGTTCACGATACACTATGACAATTTTATAGATTGCACTAACTGCATAAGGTTATGAAAGATTAGGATAATGCATGAACTGTCGAGTATTGTCCAAGAATAAAGGCAATGTAATAACAGAATACCTGTTAAACGGTGCAATCAGCATCAACTGCAGCAAAACTAGATATATGCCAAGACAAATAAACTATAAAACAGATGAACACGCGCATCCATAAACACTGTGCTCTGCTCGAACCTGATTAACCAAATGTATCCAAAATGTTCACCATTTTATCAACCCTGACTTAGGCTTTCTTCATTGCAAGTGATTGGATACCGATGAAAATACCCCGACTGAAGTTTTCTCGCACCCACATTCGTTACAACTAACCCCGTACCAGCACACGCATTGTGAAAACCTTAGTCCATAAATTACAAGTACAAAAATGCGATTATGGACATAAAGTAACCTCGCTTTGTAATCTTAAACTCAACGTAGGCTGTCACTTCAGGAATTGGCCGACTGTCCATGTGATGAGCGCACATTATATAATAAACAATACTGCTGAAGGATAATAGAAAATGGTTCACCGAATGAACCTGAATTAACGAATAAGATCACAGACTAATGGCACTTGAATTAAAGATAATTGCAATAACATTTTGAAATCCTACATATTTTTAATATCAATAAAATTATAAAACTTTCTGGTGTTGCATAAAACGGCGGTAGACCTGAGTAGAATTTCCCTTAACAATCTTGCAATAATTAATTGAAACACGGTTCATGGAGGTCGGAAAAGTAACGTTGGATTCAGACCCAGGTTTAAGGACTAGCATTTCAGTTCATCAGTATGCAGTTCGCCACAAGCTTTTCTTATCCATCGGAACCTGCCGGAACCATTTGATTTCTTAAATTAAATGCACTGTAACACTACAATTTAAAATAATAAACTGAAACAGAACAAAATTATTAGGATATACCGATAACAGAAACTACATTGAACGAATCAAAAATTTGCAACCTATGCTGGGATAAACCTTCGCATGTGTGAAGGGAAAATCACGGGATCAGTCCACAATGACGTGCAAAGTTATACGTGAACTCAGACAAGTGTTTGCGATTTGACGCGTGTGTGGGGAGGAGGGAAAAAACCGGTCTCGGAACTGGTCACACAAAATCAATTTGTATTTGTCCAATTGAATGATGGTTCCTTTGTTTTCTCATTCACCCCAGGAGAGACACGCGCTTGCTTGTCCTCCGAAATAGCATGCATCCAATTTTAGTAAACTTTTCACGTAAAGCAAATTGACACCCAGCTTCATCGAGCATCTTGCATCATTGTTTTTTTACTTCAAAAAATAAATGTTTTGTGCAAAAGGATCGGCTTTAGTTTGTAAAATGCTTAGGTTTTTGAAAACGAGAAGCCGCAAATGCTAGACTCATCGAATATACCTGGTATTGATGAAGACCGCCAGATGAATCTGATTTGGTCCAGCTCTACGGTAAATTCTAAGATAATTTCTAAAGAAAATTTAAAACTTTTTATTACTTAATTATAGGTAGTTGTTATGTTGTTAGATATCATACTGCTAATCTTGTTTGCAGCCTCAATAATAAGTAGTTTATGCAGTAAGGTGGTCCAATAACAAGGTNAGGTTGAATGAAAACCAATAGGCATGAGGTACTCTTTCAAAGCACTAACTCTGATGAATCTCATCAAACGCAATTTGATTGAGAGATGTTAAAATTTCGTTTAATTTCCTCAATCGCTGACTTGAAACAAGTGGATAAATTCCAGTCAACTGACGTGCACAGATAAACAGGATCTACTGAAATTAAAAACACCAGGTCAATTCCATGGTAAGTAAACTGTCTACCTCAACAAATTTTGGTGGCACAAAGGAGGAGGATGTAATCTGATTAGCAACGCTTTATTAATTGCCAACTGTCTCGAATTGCAATTACAGGTTAGAAAAAGGAAGCGGAATCAATTATTTGTGGATAAATAAATGTTTTACTTTTAACATTTCTCTTCATTGGTTAAACAAATATGCAATAACTTTTCCAAAGCTGTCTGGATAAATAAAGACAATAAGAAGATAGGCGATGGTGGCGGGATACGAACTCCGGACTTCGAGGGGCTATTTAATGACCTTACCACCCAACCATGAGGTGTGGTTTACGGTAGATAACCACGGGTTCCGACTGATTATGGAAAATGGGTTGCGTGATCAAATTAACCAACCTCTTTGAAATGTTTTTCGGCCACTCTTTGTGTTCACAAGTTGTTGATACAAGCGGTTCACTTGCCATGGAGTTGACCTCTTGTATTTTTTATTCTCAATAGCCCATCTCCCTGTACACGTCCTTTCACTAGGATTAACCAGACCGCTTCGTCAAATATGTCTCCGTTTATTTTACATCAACGAATGAGGAGGTTAGGCGAAAATTCGGTTTTAGTTTCAGTCTTTACAACAGTGCACTTTAGTGCGTCGGTTATGGTTGTTGTTTTTTGGCCACCCATTTCGATAACACAGCAGAATGAAGACTGGAATGTTCAGAGTAAATTCAAGCGGAAGACAGAGAATTCATATAGACTGAAGTTGCAAGAATAGTAAGTAGATGTATGAGCGCCACTGTTTGCGACATCCATCCATATCACTCAGTGTCCCTAACCAAAGGTGACCATGATCTCGACGAAACTTACACATCTCGTGACGTCTTCTTCCCGTCCTGATGCAATTTGATCAATCAAAACCAAACAATGAACATAACGGAAATGTTTACTGCATTAGGTCAGGCATCTCTTGAGTTTAGCGTTGACCGAATGCGCTGTGCTTCAGAATGAAGTTTAGAACATGATTCCAGGCGAACAGATTTTTTCAATAGCTCATACTCATAGTGCTACACTTTTTGTGAGAGCATAAAACTTAGGGGCTTGGAGGATAACATCAAAATGTGAGGAATTGATCACTATGTGTATGCGTTTCATTGCCCACCACATTCTCAGTTCTATTGTCCTGGGATTTGCAGTCATGTCACCATGGTTGTGTGACCCATTTCTGAGGGATCCGTGTTGTTGTGCAAAAATCAATGTAAAAGTCAAAGTTTTATTATGTGCGAATTAACAAGGCTAAAGCTTATCATGTCCCATAGGAGTTTTACAGAATCTTTTGAATAACTTCACAAAGACAAAATAATACTAATAACAATTTGCATTATCATTCACGGATGTTGAAATTTTAAGTGTTCCAATGATTTATCGCGTCGTTATTTAAATAGTTCAACTGTAGGAGCACACACTGCATCAGATGGGAGAGACTTCCATACACCGCACACTAACTGCGAACAAGTGATGCTGGCAATCGAGGTGGCTGTTCTGGCTCTTCACCTTTAGTGAATGTCTCCTGAGGTGATCATTACGAGATAAAGTCAGCATAGAACGGCAAGGGCGGTTGGGTTGATGCAGTACGTGATATGCTAAATTAGGTCACCCGAAGTTGACGGTATTAAGATGAGTAGGGTTCTAATATTTGCAGCTTTCTGACTATGTCTTCTTATACAGATCTTTTATCAGTTTCTTTGCCAGCCTTTGCGGACGTTTTGGAGCCTTCTTTTTGCGGTTTAATCATGGATTCCATACTTGAACGGCGTACTCCGTGTGTGGCCGAACGAACGCTGACAGCAAGCATGGGAACAGTGCTCTTTAGAACTGCCCGAAAACACGTCTGCCTAGTCAAACTTGCTTTAGAGCCATGGGTGATGCTCTGACGCAGTGCGTGAAACATTCTACGTTTTCCTGTACCATAACTCCCAAATACCTTTCATCAGTGGCATGCGGTAGTATTTGGTTCCCCAGAACTTAGGAGANTCTACGTTTTCCTGTACCATAACTCCCAAATACCTTTCATCAGTGGCATGCGGTAGTATTTGGTTCCCCAGAATATAGGAGAAACGAGTCTTATGCCGCGTGGAAATTACTCTGCATTTGGAAACGTTGAAGTCACTGCCATTGGCGATCGACCATCGGTGGGCTGCGTCGATCGTTTGTCGGAGTGCTATATAATCCTCAGGATGTGTTACAGTTCTCCAGATCTTAGCGTCATCCGCAAATAGCAGTATATTAGGCCCAAGGACATGTGGCAGGTCGTTCATAATTGCAAGAATCAGACGAGGCCCCAGTACGGATCCTTAAGGAACCCCTCAGGCAGCAGTGAAAGGCTCTGATAATGAATCATCAACACGAATGAACATTATCCTTTATCGGAGAAACTCCTTGACCCAGTCCAGAACCAACCTTCTTACTCCGTAGTTGTAGAGTTTGCGCAATAAACTTTTACTCAATCAAATGCCTTGGGGAAGTTCAAATAAACTATACCTAATGGCTGGCCAGCATCGACAGATTTCGTCCACTCATCTCGTGCAAGAAGTAGATTTGTGGTGCACAAACGCATGTGCCAAAATCCGTTCTGAATGGGAGACAAAAGCTATTCCATCAACAGATCTGCCACAATAGCCTCCATGACTTTCGACAATATCGGAGGAAGATTACCAGGGTGATAGTTGTCGGGATCACTGCGAGATCCCCTATTGTAAATGAGTGAAATCACCCCTCTATCCTCCTCATTGTCAAAATCCGTGTTATCCAGTGACGGATACGGTATACAAGGTAGTTTGCTTGGAATCTGTAGTGCTTCGTGTGTCGTTGCGGTGAAAACCTGATCAAACTGTTTTTGAGGAACTCTAGAGTAGTGGTCGAAACATTGCCAGACGATCTCAATGCTGGTATTCTGTATTTCACCTTCCTTGTAGATTTGATATGTTTATAAAGCAGTTTTAGATCAGAAATGAATTTTTGAGCCAGGGTTTCTTGGTACATCAATTTGTTCTCCCGTACAAACTTGGTACACTGATTTCGCAGTATGGAATAATTATTCCAAGCTTCGATTGATGGACATCTTCTGTACTACCGACAGAAAAATTTCCTTTGCTCTATCCGTTTCTTTGTTCGGTTGCCAATGAATGAATGACGAGTTTTAGGTTTACCACAAGTTTTGGTACTTGTTGCAGATGTTACGATTTCGGTAAGATAATAAGTGAAGCTCTTCCACGCCACCCAAAGATCGTGATCGTCTTCTAGGAGGACCCACTGCTTAAGTATTGCCAGATTTTGCAGCTTTTTGTAGTCTATGATGGCACGAGTACTCCTTTTTCGGTTTTCTTGGGTATATGCGTAGCCTATATAACCAAACATCAATACGGCATGATCACTACGTCCTAGTGGAGACGTGACATTGACAGATTCCACCATCAGCTCCTCATTAGTCAGCACTAAATCCAATGTTGATGGTACGTGACCTGCTCCAAATCTGGTGGGTTCTGTTACGTGTTTGTACAATGGGTGCAATCCAATGAACTGAGATAATTGTCTCTCGAATGGCTGTCGAGAATTCCTTGTTCTGATGAGATTGGGGCAGTTAAAGTCACCCACTATGAGGACATGGGTGAACTTTGGTGATAATGCATTCCTCATGGTTTGCAACAAAATCTAGTTGGCTGAGTCTGAAGATGCGGGAGGCCGGTACACAACACCGATTATCGTTTGCAGTCTTACTGAACACCATAACTAATCAGGGGCTGCATCAGAGATATCAAGCTGTGCACACCGTAAATTGTTTCGATGATAAAGAAGCACTCCACCGCCTCTTGTAGAATGATCACGTCTTAGTGGCGACATTCCTGATAGACAGAATTCCGAATCGAGAATGTTGGTGGTCAACCAGGTTTCAGTAACGGCAACAATGTCAAATCGCTCAGTTTTCCAACGAAGTTCCATCTCGGAGAATTCGCTAAGGTAACCCCGTGCATTGGTATAAAAACATGAAAGATATGTTCCACAAAGAAATCTTTCTGGGTATGTGGTGTTGTTTCTGTCGATCAACCTGTGGTCGGCTAACATTGGCTTCCTGTAGAATGGGCTTCGTCTGTGCTGTTTGGTGAACCTAGAGTGATACACCCGCACTAGTCGAGGAAGGTGGCTTGTTAGTATCGGTTTCCGTTTTCGGACTTTGCTGGGATCCAGTATTATGTGATGGTCTTAGGCGTAATTCCGGCAGACCCCTTTTTCTATTATCCTTCCGCGACTGCAATACGAAGATGGAAATGTCTGGCGTTCCGAGAGTGACTTTCATTATTCTCGGGCGGTCCCCGTGGTAGTTCGGTAAGATGGGTAGACGACTAATTGCCGTAGTAAGAACCTGGGTACAATTAATTAGTTCTCGAATGAAACTCCATTTCTTGCAATCATTTTGTTAGCATAGGGATTCGTCTAGATCGTTCGGTTGAGAAACCTCATGAATTAGAACTACCCGTTTGTTCTCCGATTACCGTGAGTTTGTTGGGTTAATGGGGTACTCTCTAGAAGTATTATTTTTCTACACGAATCTTCCTTAAGAAAGTAACTGGAGAGAACTTTTTCCAGGTATTTCTCGTCTGCAAATGTTACGCGAGTCAATCGTGGCTCCCGAGCATGCGGCGACGATGGATGGCGAAACAGCCGCACGATTCCAACTGGGTGAACGTCGATACCCATTTGGTTGCATAAATGAGCCCAGCAATCAAACTCCTCTGGTTCTTTCTCCCTCAAAGTAAGTTTTGTGGGCTCTGGCACGTTTGCGCAAGTAACTGTCATTCCTGGGTTATAAATTGCTTTCTTTATCTTTGGCACTGGATTGTGCCGTGGGTTGTGTGTGCGCACGGAGGAGAGAGCTGTTCATGAACCCAGGGTATTGAACGCTTATGAGCACACACAATACGCGTGGTTCTGGATATGGTCAACTTAGGCACTCAACATTCACACCGGTTCGGCGGATACTGCTAAATACTGCGGAATGCTTCACTTAGGTTAACAGGATGGTCAGCGTCTACCAAGTGGGTGAGAATCACAATTGTGATGGATCCGGAACCACCTTGACTCAGCCAGTACGGATGGAGTCCTTTCAAGCGGATAGATTACTGCTGTGCCGTACGACCGACATGGGTGCATCACAAACGTATCTGAACTAGTGAACAACCACTAAAGCGATCAACATCGGTGGCTTTTATTTATGCCAATGGTTATTAGAAACGAACTTTTGCAGGCGTGGTTCAGTGGCGTTGAATGTGACGTCTATCGTTACATTCAGTCGTCTTATGAGGGCTTCGGTGATAACTTCTCCCTTCAAAAGAAGACTAATGAATAACTCCTCTTCCATTTTTTCGATGTGTACCTTTGGTACATGTTCCATCCTATTTCATTGGATGAAAGGTTCTGGGTAGCAATTGCTTCTGAGCGCGTCTGAGATGAACATGAGTTTATCTTCCAATAATTCTTGCAACCAGATTCTTCGAGCTCCAGATACCAAACATTTTATCAAGTTCCTCTTCAGTTTACTTGGAACACAAGTGTGAAAGTTCGTCTATTGGCCACCCCATGTTTTCTTGCGGTACATACAA